TCATTTCATCAGTTTCATCAGTTTATATTAGAAATTGCAAACTACTTGAATTTTGCATATCACACTGGCTAACACATGTGGAAGAACGTGATTACACACTGCTCCCAGAAATGCTTACAGCTTGTTAAAACATACATGAGTATCATTTGATTCATCACTTGGCTGAAAGTGTGGACTGTTTTTGTATTTTAAGTGATACGAATACCCTGTCTATGATATTTGATCTATGTTGTCTTGTTTTTCATCACTACAGCACCCATACCATAAGCAGTTGTTACCCTAGGCAGACATTTAAACTGTTTACAATGTTATGCAAGATGGCTGGGGACTGGGCCACACTCAGTTGAGCCTTTCCATAAAACATGCATTCTTTATGGGTGTAGGGTTCTCTATATACCTTTGGAAATCCTAGAAAAGCAGAGCCTATGGCCATGATATCTGAGCCCATTGCACATACCGCTGAATTATTGGGGACTCTTTATGGATCATTATTTCTAGTCAAAACACCACCATAATCTATTAATTGCCTTCTAAACAACAATTTCAAGGCTATTTAGGCATAAGATTATACAAAAATTATTTAAAACAAAAGCAAAAGCAATACATTTAAAACAAGACTAAACAGAAACCAATGTTAATTGGGTCCTCTAATCAGAGTTCAGATTTGCTCATTAGGATTCCAGCAAGACTGAGAGAAAAAACCTAGCCAGTGAAAAAGATATACTCAAGATTGTAGCTGAAAGGTTTCAGTCAGTTTATTGATGCGTTAAGGCATATTTCTCTTCCTATAAAAGGTGATATTATAAAAGTTGAAGAAATAAAGCCAAGCCTAAAACAGTGTAATGTGCGATGAAATGCCTCAAGGGAAGTGATCAATGAATTAATAGATAATATATTTCCGTTAGAAATATTGTGTTTAAATGGCATAAGAATAGCAGAGAGGAGAGAGAGAGAAAGAAAGAAATGGAACACATTTTATAATGATCAGGAACTGAATAGCAAAGGTTGAATTTTGACATAAATTTCAATATTCATGGGGTGAGCATATGCAAGATACAAACCATGGAATTGAAAATAATCTATCCTTTTCCACTCTTCAAATGATTACTGAGAGAGGGAGTGATCTACACAACATTTAGGGCACTGGTTCTGTACAACCCTAGTTCTGAGTGTACTATAATGTGCCCCATTTATTTTGCCTCAATCAAACAAAAACTAGAAGACACCAGACATAAACAGAGAGAGTCCAAAATGGCAGCTACAATCAAGGGTCAAACTAAACATTAGCTACCCATCTTTGCATTGTTTTAGTGTTGTTTAGCCGCCCTGAGCCCGGCTTCGGCTGGGGAGGGCGGGATATAAATAAATTTATTATTATATTATCTGTGCCTTGAAGCGCAGGGGTGCCTTCGTAAAATACAAATTGCAACGCTGGATTCACAACCAGTGATTGGGGGTTGTAACAATTCTCTTTATGACAGAATCCTAATCATTTTAAACATCACGAGACATTTCAACTCTATCAATTTGATGCAATAGATACTGACAGTGTAAAGGTCCAAGAAGAATATAGTTCACCTTATAGTTTCAACAACAAACACCTGTTTTCTAAATTTTCAGCATCACTTTTGGTTCCTGTGTGATTTAAAAATTCAAAGGGAAAGAAAAAACCTGAAACTAAAGTATTTTTAAAAGGAGGAAGCCCATCCCCACCAAAACTGAAAATGACAAAAGAAAACTTCAGCCCATGGAGCATTTAAATACAGGGACATGGCTCAAAGATGGAACAGACTCCAGAGCTCTCCCTCAAAACGAAATCCCTCAGCACTCCAGCAAGGACCACGTTCCTTCATCTCCACCATGATCTCAAAGGGTGGCTTCTCTGTTCTGGCCTAGTGATGATGCTCTGCTTCACTGAAATCTCATCTCAGGACTGCAGCCAACTTCGCAGCTGGCTAAATAAAGACAACTTGAAGCTTCTCAACAGCAAGATGGGATCCACAATTCCCCTACAATGCATCGGCCATGTGGCCAATTTTTCCAACAACGAAGAAATCCACAGCCACGAAATCCAGGGGGAGGATGCCAAAGCAGCCACACAAGAAATCCTCCAGCAGACCCTCCACATCTTCCGGCAAAACCACAGCCAAATGGACTGGGGTGAGACTTCCATAGCTGGTTTCCAGGCTGGGCTGCACCAGGACATTGAGAAGCTGGGACGGTGCTTGGGTGCAGAGAAGGGCAATAGCATCCGACAGCGGGTGAAAAGCTACTTCAGAAGAATCAACGACTACCTGAAAGATGACGGGTACAGCCTGTGTGCCTGGGAGATTGTCCAGATGGAAGTCCGGCAATGTTTTTCTGCTCATCGACCAACTCCTCAAAAGGACAGGAAATTCAGGTACTTTCACAAAATACCATTGGTACTGGGATTTGGTGGGAATTGTAGTTTTCAAAGGCTTCCAGTTAAATGAATGAGGCATTCAACAATGCAATTCCCGTGCATCCAAGCAATGATTCCCCTCACATTCAGGAGCATGTAGAACGAGGACCACTTCTCTTCCTGGTCAAGGCCTCCCTACTGCTTGAGTTGTGCCCTGCTTTGCAAGGATTTCTCTTGTTAGTTTCTCGAAAACATTTATTCCACCCAGAATAGGTTGTTTTGCTGGTTTGAAATACATTTGTCTGGAAAAGGGCATCCCTGGTTTTTTGAATCAGAGAGCATGGGAAAAGAAAGTTTTATTATAAGTTGCTAGGACAGAACATTCAATGTTGCTGAGTGACAGATATCATCCATAGGACAGCTTAGCTCAAAATCTTCATGTAACGTTTGATCTGGTCTTGTGTAAATGAATGCAGCACAATCCTGATGCATTGCATCCATTTCTGTTAGGCGCAATTCAATATCCAGTCTTAATACTATCTAAATCAAGTTGGAGAGTTGCATCAATTTCATAGGGACCAGAGGAATATTTTCTCCTTTAAACTGTCACCAGGATCAATCGTTAAAGGCTTTGCAGAGTACCATCATTCTGTTTTCTGAATGTTCTGAGAAGGCAGTATTCAAAAATCTAGTTTCTTGTGGTTCAGAATGTTCCATATTTGAAATAAAGGCTTTTTTCAGGGAAACTATCACAAACTGAACAGGGGATGTTCAATTAATCACTTCTCTACTTTGTTCCAGCTTAAGCTGCCATCAGTGATGCAATGAAAGCAGCCGAATGAAACTGCAACTTGAAGAGGGCATCAAATTATTTCAGCTTTCACTCTCTTTCATCATCAACGCATTCCTCAAAAGCAAAAGAGCTGCTTCCTGTTCTTCTTCGTCATCTCTTCGGCATTGTTTCACTACTTTTACAATGTGGTTTTTAAATATGCAGGGCTACTATGAAGCCTTGAAGAGTAGATAACGGTTAAAAAGTAGGAGAAAGCCCCAGAAATTGTGCAGCTGGAAGAGTCTCTGACACAGTCTCTCCTCGTATTGCAGCTCCTCTCAAGTATCATTAGATGGATGCATCAATTCCTTCAAGTGATCTTTGCCCCTTTCCCACTGGTCGTCTCCTATCCTGCTCTGGAGGGGCATTTGAGATTTGAGAGTGGGGCACAGGAAGAGGAAATGTGTGAAATCACTTTCCAGGCCCCCTCTAAGAGTTGGAGTTTCCATCAGCAGAACTCGGCTCACAGTCTATGAAACAATTCCATAATTTGACATACCTTGTAATAGCAAAAAGTCCATGATTTGTTATTGAAGAAGGCTTCTTGTGATGACAGAGTTTCCAAATCTGAGGGTGGGGAAAGGAATAGCATTAAGCTGCAACATTCCAATTCACGTTATTACTTTGGAAGTCTACAAATGGATGCTAGTTTTTAAATTATTTCATATCTTACAATGCTGTGAAAATGATATTTATATTTTAGAAGTGTTGTTACTTTTAATTTTTATTTATTATATTTATTAGTGCCACCATTTAATGTTATTTATTGTATACTTTGGCTGACCATTGTTGTTGTTGTTGATATTACCATTCATTTATTTTTTATGTTTATTACAAATGCTTTTTATTAAAGACTGCAACTCCTGTCCACATGGTTCGTTTGGATGAATATGATTTGGCAAAGTGTGGGAGACATTCTAATAGAGAGTTCTTCTGTGAATTATGGCAACATAAGATGTCAAATTACACAGAAGGTAGACAGAGGAAACACGACCCATTTATGAATGAGGTTTTGGGCTTCTGTAAGAAGGAAAGTCTGCACCTCTATATCAGACATGTGGAAGTTTTTTTGAGCCAAAGACCACATTCCATTGTGGGCAACTTTCTGGGGGCCAGGTGTTGGTGTGGGCAGGGCCAAAGGCCTTAATGAGGGAGCCCGCTGTGGGGGTGTCTCATTGCGCCCCCTCAAAACTGTGCGCCTGGGGCCATGGCGCCTCTGCCCCCACCCCACCCCACTATGCCTCTGCTGTCCAAGGCCTTTCAATTCTACAACTCTATGGTTCTGTGATTCTATGATTCATGCCACCACAACACAACCATCGAACCAGGATATTCACTTGCTCAAGTGCTAATAAGCAGGAGACCCAAATCCAAAGCCTACCAAAGGCTCCCTCCTGAAGCCAAGAGCAACAGATCATCACCAGGAAATACAAATCTGGGATTGATGGAAAAGCAAAACAGAAATCCCACTATGTTCACAGAACCAAAATGTTGTCAACAGGGCACATAGTCATATGTGGTGGGAATGTCCAAAAGTTTAACAAATACAGCTTGAGATATCTCTAGAAATGTAAACCTTTTAAATTAAAGACAGTACAGTATTCAGTTCTCTCCAAAACGTGATTACTTTTGATATTTGTGGGAATGAGTGAGAACATTAAATCCAAAGAGCTGCTTACCTTCCTGATTCTCACAGCAAGACCACCTATAACTCAACGATGTAAGTTGTTTTCTGATATTGGTAATACAGATTGATGGAATAAGGTTTGGAACTTTGCTCTTCAAGAAAAAACTTAAATGGCATAGGTAAAGGAACCCTCACCATTAGGTCCAGTCGCGGATGACTCTGGGTTGCGGCGCTCATCTTGCTTTACTGGCCAAGGGAGCCGACGTACAGCTTCCGGGTCATGTGGCCAGCGTGACTCAGCTGCTTCTGGCGAACCAGAGCAGCGCACGGAAACGCCTTTTACCTTCCCACCGGAGTGGTACCTATTTATCTACTTGCACTGTGTGCTTTTGAACTGCTAGGTTGGCAGGAGCAGAGACCGAGTAATGGGAGCTCACCCCATTGCGGGGATTCGAACCGCCAACCTTCTCATCGGCAAGCCCTAGGCTCTGTGGTGTAACCCACAGCGCCACCCACATGGATTGATGGAATAAGGTTTGGAACTTTGCTCTTCAAGAAAAAACTTACATGGCATAGCAGATCCCTAAATGGAAAGGCAAAGCCAGGTTCTTAATGGCAGCCTGGTGAGAATTTTTAGATCTCATTAAAAACCATCAAATATATTCACTTCTTCCTCCAACAGCTATGAACATCTGGGACAAGTAACTTGTTCTATACTTACTTCAGCCAGAAAGAAACACAGCCATAAACTTCCTCCATATTTGACTCTCAACTTCTTCCATGTCAGCTTCATCATACTGATTATCAACAACGGTCATTACCCTATGTCTTACATTGGTTTTTTCTGTTAATGTATTTACAAAATATTTGTTCTGAAACTCCCAATAAAAATACAAAAAGAGAGCCAAATGCTAACTGTTCCCCAGAATTTCAAATTTAATGATACAAAGCCATGATGGGCAATTGCACCGTAGAACTGTTACAGAGACTTTAGGCTATCCCAGGTTGTAAAGACTACAAAGAGAAAGTGGGCAGTCACAAAGGCCAAATCACAAAGGCTCACTCCTAGTCTCACTCCTGCAGCTGAGAGGAATGAGGCCATAACCAACTTGGATGGCCAACAAGGTCATCCAATAGCCATGGAGATGTGATGGCAGAAGAGCCACAGCTGAAGATCGGTCATCAGCTGACTCTCCAGTGTGGGATGCGAAACACAAGAGCAGTCATGTACAACATTCCTAGAGTGAACATATTTACACATGGGGAGGAATGTTTGTCCAGCCAGCAGGTAAACTTCCTGTTTCCTTCTAGGCTGGGACAGACTTCCTCTGCATGTGACTAGAGGTGGGTGTGGCCTCACCTGTGCAGGTAATGACAAAAGCACAGGGCAGGGCAGCCATCTCTCTCTCTTTGACTACATGCATCAAAGAAGCAACATCTGCTTAGCTAAAAATGCTCTCTTGGCTTCCATCCAAGAGAGGACAAAGGGACTGTCTCCTTCTGAGATAGTTTCCAGGTGTATGTTACTTTTCTAAGCTAAGTCTGCCTTCTGGGATCCAATTGTGAACAGAATGTGAGTAAACTCTTTTTATACTTTTATAGAAGACTGTGTCGTGTCTTATCTTTTATGTGGGAATAAGGGGGAAATACCAGAACAGTTATTATAGAGGCTTTAACCAAGCCTGAGCAAACGCAGCTGCTGCAAATTTAAAAGGGGAATGTTACTCTGCTAAAATTATGAACCTGTTAACACGAGTTGGAAAGGCTATAATCAAACAATCTATCATCTCCTGCATCCCTGAACATTCCCACATGCAGAAGCACCAGGAGCAACACGCTCTCAAGGTATGGAAGAAACCTCAAACCCAAAGAGTGGATATACAGCATGTCACACAGTAGAAGCAAGTGTTTAGCCCTCCAAACCTACCTCCCCACTGGAAACATCTAGAGATATTTCCATGTTATGTTTTATTGAGGAGGGGGAAGAAATGTAATGTAGGCATTATTGACTGAGTTAAGAAAAAAGGGTAAGGGACCCCTGGACGGTTAAGCCCAGTCAAAGGTGACTATGGGGTTTCTGTGCTCATCTTGTTTTCAGGCCGAGGGAGCTGGCATTTGTCTACTGACAGCTTTCCAGGTCATGTGACCAGCAGGACTAAGCCTCTTCTGACACAATGGAACACTGTGACAGAAACCAGAGCCCACGGAAACGCTGTTTACCTTCCCACTGCTGCAGTTCCTATTTATCTACTTGCACTGGTGTGCTTTTGAACTGCTAGGTTGGCAGGAGCTAGGACAGAGCAACGGGAGCTCACTCCATCCTGGGGATTTGAACCGCCGACCTTCTGATCGGCAAGCCCAAGAGACTCAGTGGTTTAGACCACAACACCACCCGTGTCCCATATTAACTGAGTAATATGAGTAATATCAACTGAGTACTGTAGTACCTCTGGTTAAGTACTTAATTCGTTCCATAGGTCTGTTCTTAACCTGAAACTGTTCTTAATCTGAAGCACCACTTTAGCTAATGGGGCCTCCTGCTGCCACCGTGCCGCTGGAGCCCGATTTCTGTTCTCATCCTGAAACAAGGTTCTTAACCTGAAGCACTATTTCTGGGTTAGCGGAGTCTGTAACCTGGTACCACTGTATTTCAATTTAAAGTATTTCAATATGTTCTACACACACCTATGTATTCAGGCAAGGAAGAGGAATTATCACACAGTTCAAGGACACCAGCAAAGCACTCAAGCAGTGGGGTCCATGAGAGATATCGCCTATGGAGGTGAGGGTCTGGGGAGAGGCCTGAGGCCCAGATAGAGAGGCCTGGGGTCTCTGGGCCTGAGGTTCCCAAGGACACTGGGATAGGAGACATAGAACTTCCTCCCCATACAAGGAAGCACCAAATATCTTCCTCAAGTTGGTCTTGCTTCCTCTGTCCCCACCATTTACAGCCTAACTCTCTGATAGAATGTCCCCCATACTTCATATCATTGAAATAGGCAAAATCACCCAAATGACCCAAATTGCTGAGATGTGCATTTTTAATAGGAAGACTGTTGAAATGGTCAGTCAATGAAAGGATACAATAAATAACATTAAATAAAGGAACTTCATAAATATAATAAATACAAATAAATATAAAGAGCAAAAAGCGTTTCCGCGATATAAATAACATCATCATCAACGTGGATTCTTTTTTCCTTTGGATCTCTAACTTCTGCGTAAGACTTCATGGTAGCATGGCATTTCTTGGTTACAGAAGAAGAGGGACAGAAAAGGGCAGCTGTTTTAATTTCTAGAAATCTGTCTGAGGAATCGAGCGAAAGCTGAATGGTTGTAGTTGTAGCTTCATTCGCCTCTTTCCGGTGCAACTTAAGCTGAAAGGAAGATGAAAAGTGGTTAGAATCCTGCATTCATTTTGAAATACCTTGCTTTTCATTTCAAAATATGAAAAATTATGAATCACAAGCACTAATATTTTTAAAACGGGCTCCTCAGAAGAATCAGAAAATGGAAAGGTAAGTTTTCTGAAAGCTTCTCAGACCTGATTAAAGTACAGTGGTACCTCGGGTTAAGTACTTAATTCATTCCGGAGGTCCGTAGTTAACCTGAAACTGTTCTTAACCTGAAGCACTGAGAGAATATGTATTTAATGATATGTGTAAAAGTGAATCTTTCTATATTTTTGGCTTCTGATGTTGCATGGAATCTGATTTTTCTGTGATATGGTCCCTTGTTGCAAATGAACAATGCTGTGCACTGGATAGCTCTTACGAGTATTCCCGCTGGTTCCCTCCATGTTGCCAGCAGGGTATTGTTGATAGCATGTGAAAACCACCAGAATCTGCTTCACCAATGTGGATACAAACAGCCTGCTACACCACATGAAATCACATCAGAGATCAATCCAATTTATCATAGCAGGAACTCAATGGGAAGAAACATCTACAATCTGTCCCATCCACGTGGGTCTTTCATGCAGAGTCATAGGCGCCGACTCCATGGGGCTTGAGGGGGCTCGAGCCCCCTCAAAAAATTTTTTGGGGGGGCTCAGCCCCCCCAATAATCTCGGGCGCCGGGGGCGGGGGCTCCTGCCTCGCTGCTTCGCAGCACCACCGCCACTGCCAAGGCACTGCCGGGGGGAATTTCCTTCCTCCTGGCGGTTTCAGCCCCCGCGAGAACAGGGGAATCCCGACTGGCCACACCTCCCAGCCAGCCAATCGGCTGGCTGGGGGGGCGTGGCTTGCCCTATTTAGGGCCGGAGCCACTTTATTTGCATATTCATGAGCTTATTTATTATTCATGAGCTTTCCCGGGCCCCCCCAATATTTTTTATAAGTCCGCGTCCCTGTGCAGAGTGTCCCCATTCACATAGCATCACCTTGCGGATTAAGTTTTTTTCTTGCAACAACAAGGAAGAAAGCCTAAATCACCAGAATTCTGAGGAAATCCACAACTTCTTCAAGAAGAATTATGAACATTTCTTAGTGGCAAGTGAGGGCAGGTTAGACATCCTGAAAAGGTTGCTGAGAAACTAGCTGTTTTTCTCACCTAGTTCTAATCAAGTCGTATGTATTTTTTAAAAAAGTGTACAGTACCTTCGTTAGAGATTCTTTTGATGAGTTGATCTGTCAGCACAAAACATTGCCTGATCTGGATCTGGACAGTCACCCAAGCACATAGGCTGTGATCTTTATCTTTCAGGAGATCGTGGAGTATTTGGAAGTATCTTTTCACTCTCAGTCTGGTGAGCAGAGTTTTCTGACCTCTTGGAGATGTGAGGCCACGCTCCAGCTCTGCACTCCAACATGTTTCCAGCTTCTGAATTTGCTGGTCCAGTTTGGTCTGGAAAGCGGTTGTGGAATTGCCATCCCAACCCATTTCAGTATGGTTTTGTCTGAAGATGTGCAGAGTCTGTTGGAGGATCTCTTGTATAGCTGCTTTGGCATTCTCCACCTGGACCTCATTGATGTTCGTGAAGATTTCCTGATTCGTTGTGACGTCCATTTCCTCTCCTATGCATTGAATAGGAATGGTTGCTCCCGTTTTGTTCTTCAGAAGCTCCAAGTTGGCCTTGTTGGCTTCATGTAGCCAGCTGTGAAACTGGTTACAGTCCAGAGATGAGATTTTGGAGAAGAAAAGCATCATTAGGCCTACATGCAGCAACCATCCCTTGGTGATCATGGTGGAGATGAAGGAATGTGGTCTTTGGTAGAGCACTGAATCTGGAAGACTGTGTCTTGAGGAAGATGTTCTGAAGTCTGTTCCATCTTTGAACCATGGCCTTGCCTTTAAACATGTAGTCGCAGAAGTTTTCCTCTGTCTTTTTCTGTTTATGTGGGATTCCCCTTTCTGAAAATACTCTTCTTTCACTTTCTCCCCTTTGTACGATTTGTAAAATCACAAAAGACCAAAAATGCTGTTTTCAGTTGGGATACGCATATTTAGAAAACGTTTCATTTTTGACCAAAAACACCTTTAAATTAATGTGAAAATGTTTTTTTAATAGTGAAAACCAAAATCTATTGTTATGTTGCCTTTTCTCAAATTCATTTTATCAGTTCAAATGCCAAACAGCTGGAATTTCTCATGATGTAACATAGACTGGCCAGCAATATCAGTCTATGGCTGCTCCATGCGGAATAATTTTAACAGGTATGGAGTGGTCCCAGCGATGCAGTGTTTAGAGCTGGTTCCCACATGCATGGACATCATTTGGTTACTCTTCCTTTGGTGAGCAACAGCTGAATGTGTGAACCCGCCCTATTGTTTTATAATTGAAATGCTTTGAACATCATGCCTGCAGTCTTTGAACTAAGATTCCTAATTCTTACAGCAACTGTGTACTAAGCAGTAGCAGTCATTCATATACAAACATTTAAGCTGCTTACAGATCATGAAGAGGGATGTATGTGAAACTCCTTGCAGGCATTTAATGGTATGTGTTTATTAGCTATTAGCTGCCATTCACATAAAGGTCTCAGGACAGCACACCACACAATAAAAAAAAATACAATTTGTTCACAACTGCACAGTTAAAACACAATCAGCCAGAAAATCATATACAGAGACTAACGACCAGAGCAACTCCCCCCTCCTGTGGTTTCCAGCAACTGGTATTCGGAAGTGTGGGTAAAAGTATAAACCATTACACACCAGATGGGACTAGGAGTACTCCAGAAACAGAGAATATGGGGGCTACCGCCAAGAAGGTCCTCATGTGCTGCTGGTCCCACCCTGACACCTGAGGATGGTGGAACAATCAGCATTGACTACCAATCTTAAGTCCTGGGCCGGTCTGTAATGGAGAAAGTGATCTTTCATGTATTCTGGACCCCAGATCCAATCTGTCAACAGTTAGACTGTATATTTGTCTTGGGTGGGAATAAGCAACCAGTGCAATTTTCACAGAACTAGTGTAAAATCTGACCTCCTGGCTGCCCTGATCAATAGTCCAGCTGCTTCATTTTGCAGTAACTACAGTTTCTGATGCCTCTTCAAAGAGGCAAGGCACAACCATCCAATCTGGAGTTTGCCAGAGCACAGACGGAACCAGAGCCTTGATCACAACTGGATCACAGAATGTAGATCATCCTGTTCCATGAAGGGACATGGCTGGCAGGGTCTTGGCCAGTGAGATCACTAGAGCCCCAAGTAGCAATGCTATATCAGAGAACACCCTTACACTTTGGACCTGACTTCTCCGGGGGGGGGGGGGCAACCCTGTCCTTGACAGGCCTCCTCACCACTGACTTGGCATACATAATACCTCCATCTAATATGGACTCAACTTTAGTTTGTCTGCCCTTATCCAGGCCTGTACATCCTCTCCTGATTCGGATGGAATGGGGAGATTGAGCTCAGTGCCATGTGCATACTGATGACACCCCACTCCACCAGCTTCAAATATAAGGTGAATAACCGGGAATACAAAATGGAACCCTGCGGAATATCACAATGGGGCACTTCCCATGGTGTTCAGCAGTTGCCCCCACCCCCATATCATGCACTGTGCTGAAGCTGAACTTAATTTTTGCATTCATGGAAGTTCCTTTTCAACAACGAAACGACTGTTTTCCAAATCTTCAGCATCACTTTTGGTCCTGTGTGATTTAAAAACCCAAAGGGAAGGAAAAAACCTGAAACTAGAGTATTTTCAAAAGGAGGAAGCCCATCCTCACCAAAACTGAAAAGGACAACAGAAAACTTCAGCCATGTAGCATTTAAATACAGGGACATGGCTCAAAGATGGAACAGACTCCAGAGCTTCTCCCTCAAAACGAAATCCCTCAGCACTCCAGCAAAGACCACGTTCCTTCATCTCCACCATGATCTCAAAGGGGTGGCTTCTTTGCTTTGGCCTAGTGATGATGCTCTGCTTCACTGAAATCTCATCTCAGGACTGCAGCCAACTTCGCAGCTGGCTAAATAAAGACAACTTGAAGCTTCTCAACAGCAAGATGGGATCCACAATTCCCCTACAATGCATCGGCCATGTGGCCAATTTCTCCAACAACGAAGGAATCCACAGCCACGAAATCTGGGGGGAGGATGCCAAAGCAGCCACACAAGAAATCCTCCAGCAGACCCTCCACATCTTCCGGCAAAACGACAGCCAAATGGACTGGGGTGAGACTTCCATAGCTGGTTTCCAGGCTGGGCTGCACCAGGACATTGAGAAGCTGGGACGGTGCTTGGGTGCAGAGAAGGGCAACAGCATCCGACAGCGGGTGAAAAGCTACTTCAGAAGAATCAACGACTACCTGAAAGATGACGGGTACAGCCTGTGTGCCTGGGAGATTGTCCAGATGGAAGTCCGGCAATGTTTTCTGCTCATCGACCAACTCCTCAAAAGGACAGGAAATTCAGGTACTTGTATGCTTTTAAAAATAATGTTTGTAGTTAGAACTAAAGAAATAGAAATTCCAGGGCAGCCGCTCAGCTTAGCAGATACTACTTGCTACAAACAGGGAAGCCTAAGGTTCCAACTAGTTCCCAGTTAACTGAGGAGGAAACCACACCCAGAGAAGACAGGTGTGTCTCTTAAAAAGAAAGGCCACGTCTCCTACAGGGAAAGCATTTCAAACTGGATAACTAATGTTATGTACTGAGTTGAATAGGATCCAAAATGCAGCAGTCTGATTGGTCCTAGAACAATAGGATCCAAAATGCAGCAGTCTGATTGCTCCTAGAACAATAGGATTCAGAATGCAGCAGTCTGATTCGTCCTAGAACAATGCAGCAGTATGATTGGTCTGCAGGAGCCACCCAATCCAGCTCCAGGTGGAAGTGAATCCACAACCTGATTGGCCAACAGGAGAATTTCGGAATTAGCCAATCACGTGCAGCACATTGTGTAAATAATGTATATAAAGCAGATACTTTGGGGGAACTTTCATTCCTCCTCCCACTATGAACTGAATAAAGAGCATGAAATCCACTCTCGACTCCGAGTGTATTTCAATTAATCTATTCTCTTCTTCATTCCAGCTTAACCTTCAGTCGGTGCTGCAACGAAAAAAATGGGATGAAACAGCAGAATGGAATTGTGGCTTGAAGAGGGCATCCCAGTTACTCAGCTTTCATTAGATTCCTCCAGCAATGCATTCCTGGAAAGCAAAACAGCTGCTTCCTGTTCTTCTGCACCTGCTACTGTTTGCCAGATGCAAAGTGGTGTCTTTAGGACGGAAGTCTGTGTTTTCCTCGGTATCAAGAGAGTTTCTCTTCGTGCAGAAAAAGCACTCCGTTCCTCCAGCAATGTGTTTCTCAAAAGCTAAACAGCTGCTTCCTCTTCTGTTTCATTTGCTGCTACATTGTTTTGTTAAGTTAAAGCTAGTGAAGTGTGATTTTGAAATGTGAAAATGCTACAGGGAAGCCTTACATGGAAGATAAAGGTTCAAAAGGGAAAGGGGGAAAAAAGATGATTATCCTGTACTGTTTTTCCACCCTCCGCAATCTTCTCTTTACCTGCGGGAGGGATATAGTTTATATTTCCTTAGACTGATTTTCCCTTGCAATGTGTTCTAGGTGGTATTCTCTGTTCACACGGGGCGCTAGGACAGGCATGGCCAATGCTACAAAAAGACCAAAGATTTGCCCCAGAATCTTCACAAACATGATGAGCTTCTAAGGCAGAGGTATAGGTGTTCCTTGATAGAATATTAATTTTATAAAAATCACAGATCCTTATTCTTAAACATCTGTGTTTGGAAGGGCTAGTGAACCAGTGGAGGCTGCCAATCATAGAAACTGGTCAAAACAGATTGGGGGGGGCACAGGAAGCTACACAGTGATGGGGAGGGAATTGGGGGGGAAATAACATTTACCCCTTCCATAAATGAGAGTTTCCATGCAACAACACCACTCGCGGAATCTCCAATGTACCCATAATTTAACGCATTCTACAAAAGCAATAAGTTCACGATTGGGTTGGAAAGGCTACATACAAGCACAGATTTTCCAAACCTAGGGCAAAATTCGTAGTACGGTAATAATTTATTTGCTAAAGGAACACAGTGATTTATGCAGGTCAAGCAGTCAGAGATGCAAGCATCTTAAGTGGGACAATTATTCTTCTAAGAAGTGTGCCAAATGAAATGCACTATAGACATACGTGATTTCTGTTATTTAAAAAAATATTTATTTTATTTATATAATGCGTGTGCTACTTTTATTTTATATTTATTTATTATTCATCTGGCTACGTCATGTCTTTTATTGTATCTTTTCTTCACCGACTGGAAATATCAAATGTTCTTCCTATTAAAAGCTGCAACATGGGTCAATGGAATGATTTTGCATGTTTGAAGGGCATGACGTGCGGGAGCTATGAGAGTTTGGCTGCACATGATGGGGACCTCATATGTCATGTTGCAGAGGAAGATGGGCAGAGGAAGCATGACTGATCTGTAGGTGAGGCTTGGTGCTTCCATCATGTAAGGTCTAAGGAGAAAACTCTGTGCCTCCCTCAACAGTGAGGTGGGTGACCTGATGAAGAAGGCACACATTGCACAAATTCCTTCCAGAGGGATGCTCAGATTCCTGTTTTAAGCATTACAGAGGGAAGACAATTTCCTTGTTCTTTGTCTCCCTTTCCCCATGTTTGTAGCCATTCACAGTACACGTAAAATGGTTAAGGCTGCAATCTTAGTCCCATATATCCAGGAGTAAAGGGACGTGGGTGGCGTTGTGGGTTAAACCACAGAGTCTAGGACTTGCCGATCAGAAGGTCAGTGGTTCAAATCCCCGCGATGGGGTGAGCTCCCGCTGCTTGATTCCTGCTCCTGCCAACCTAGCAGTTCGAAAGCACGTCAAGGTGCAAGTAGATAAATAGGTACCGCTCTGGTGGGAAGGTAGACGGCATTTCCATGTGCTGCTCTGGTTCACCAGAAGCGGCTTAGTCATGCTGGCCACATGACCCGGAAGCTGAGATTAGTGCCGCAACCCCGGAGTTGGTCACGACTGGACCTAATGGTCAGGGGTCCCTTTACTTATCCAGGAGTAAGCCCAATAGAATTCAGTAAGACTTATTTCTAAGTGGGCATGGTTAGGATTCCTGCTGCAGCCTTTTAAAATATCTTTTAAAACTCAATGACAGATTGATATTATTTTAAAAACTACTACAGATAAATTGGGGGGGGGTGAAACAGGATGAATGTGTCATTTTCTTTAATTTTCAAGATTTTATCATGAAGTTAAAATAACAATCCAGTAAGAAACATGAAATAAAATGGAGAAGAAGAGAAACAGAGACAAAACACTATTTTAAACAGCCAAGGCTTACCCCCAAGTATTCTGGGGTGCTGAGGGTTGCTACGGAACCCCTGTTTCTCTCAGAGAACTACAGAATTGACCAATCCATCCCTCTTCACAGAGATCTCTGGGAATTGCAGTTCTGTGAAGGGAATTGGGAGGGGGTGTCTCCTAACCACTCTTAGCCCCCCTGACAAACTACAGCTCCCAGAATTATTAGGAGGGGAAATCATGACATTTTGAAGTACTAGTTTGGGACTTTATATGTATGAGGTGTCAGAGAGAGGAGGAGGAGACCTACGTGGGGAGTGGGTTGAGGACATAAACTTCCATTAAAATTGCAGGTAATAATTTCATTTATAATGCAAATTTAGCGGGGGGAGACGTTGACCAGGTGGTCCGTGTGCTTGAAGGAAAAATCCATCAGCCCCTGCTCTTAAGAGCTTTTGACCTTTAAAACAGACAGCCCTTCAAATATAGACTGTGCCTTTAAAACAGAGGAATATGACCCCCACAACAGGAAAAAGTTCCTCATCCTTCTTTGACAGCAATGCCACACCATGACGTTTTTCCGCAATAAATGACGCAGTGCCTGTTTCCGCCACCAGATGGCTGCACCCCTACATCCCCGCCCACCCCAAAAGTTATGCTTAAAGTTTTATAGGCTGGAGGGGGAAAGCAGGGCTCCGCTTGCTTCATAGAGTCCTCCCAGATCCTGGCGCAGAAACCTCGTGCCCCTTTCTAAGCCCGGGGTTTCTGGCCCCGTCTTCAGACGACCAGGTGTGCGAGATGGGAAGCGAGTCGACAGCCCACCTTCAGCCCAGGTGATCCCGGATGCGGCAGGAGCTCGTCTGAACGCCTCCAAAAGAAGAAGAAAAGAACCCAAACCCAGGAGGACTGGACAAAAATCAGGAGGATGCAATAGTATCTCGCACATTTAAAATAAAAAAAAATTCCTTCCAGTAGCACCTTAGAGACCAACTACGTTTGTTGTTGGTATGAGTGCACGCACGCTTCTTCAGATACCATGCACACGAAAGCTTATACCCAGGACAAACTTAGTTGGTCTCTAAGGTGCTACTGGAAGGAATTTTTTTATTTTATTTTTTTATTTTGTTTTGACTACGGCAGACCAACACGGCTCCCTACCTGTAACGCGCACATTTAAAAAAGCGGGCGGGGGGGAGGACTTTAATCGAAGGGGGCGTGGCAAGGAAAGAGAGCCATTTTTTATTTTTTTTAAAGGTTTCCCAGTTTTCCCGGCCTGTTGCTAGGGGACTTACTTCCATCCAAATCCAAATTCCACCAGACGCAGTAGCGTCGGCTCAAATCGCTGGGGCGAGAGGTCGTTGCGCCCCAGGCGCATCTCCGCGTTGCTGAGGCTCCGTGGATGATTCTGCTACATGGATGCTGGCTGCTGAAGGGACCCCTCCGGGTAGACGGTTCTGATGCAGGTAATACTCTGCATTTTATTTTTCCACATTCCCCCTTCCCCTTTTAATTCTCTTAACCATGTTAACTTAGATAGCCGTGCACCCATTTCTCCTCATCTCCTCGACTTATTGCGCGATAGTCCTTGGGTGGAGCAGACATCCTGCGCCAAGGGTTTCTTAAAAGAGGACCGCAGCGTCCAGATCCGTTTGTAATTCCTGAGCAGAGCTTTCCTCTTCCCTACCGAGACAGTGAAAGGTACACACGTTTAAAGCGCGCGCGCGCGCGCACACACACACACACACACACAATCCTGGGATTGTGCTGGGAATTGTAGCTCTGTGAATTCTCTGAGCTGACGAGACCAGGGAGAAGAGTTTGTGGAAGAAGACTGGAAGAAATTTAAAGACTATTTGCAGAAATACTGTAAAATTAATGAATGTTAAATTGATGTTGGATTGAAAATAAGTGGTATTGGCAATAAGATTAATAAGAATATGCAAGTATGGATTGATAATGGATGAAAATATATAGTTGTAATAGGTTAAGATATAGAGTAAAGATAAATGAAAGAGGGTAAGGATTTGCTGAAATGCTTTTCTAAACGGGAGTACAAAAAGGGGAGGTGTGAGGAGGTCAAGGAAATAAGCAAACGAGCCTAAAGATATGGAAAAATGGATTTATTTTTTAATTTTTTTCTTTTTAGCTATTTGTCCTCTTTTGCACTTTGTATCTTTTCTCTTCCTTTTTTTATGTGTGCTTTTTAGTTTGTTAATTTTTGTTTTAATTTTCTTTATTCTGTAAACCTATGTTTTTTGCAAAACCTTAATAAATATTTTTTTTTAAAAAAAAGAATTCTCTGAGCTGAGCTGTGCTTTAAAAGAGTATGATGAATTCCCTCATGTTTAAGAAAGACTCAGTATCCAGTGAGTTCTTGAGCCTGGCATGGGGGAGTGACGCACCCCTTCTTGTCCTTCACTTCAGCAAAATGCCTTGGGTTGGTCCTGGTTCTGACACCCTTTATATTTTGCTTTCTCTGCTCCTTGATCAGAAGGGCTGCTGAAACAGGACAGACCACCCAATTCTTTACAGTGGTATCTCGGGTTAAGTACTTAATTCATTCCGGAGGTCCGTTCTTAACCTGAAACTGTTCTTCACCTGAAGCACCACTTTAGCTAATGGAGCCTCCTGCTGCCACTACGCCGCCGGAGCCCGATTTCTGTTCTTATCCTAAAGCAAAGTTCATAATCTGAAGCACTATTTCTGGGTTACTGGAGTGTGTAACCTGAAGCATATGTAACTTGAAGCGTAT